CACACACACACACACACACACACACACACACACACACACACACACACTAGATGAGGGACTTTTACCAGTCTCCAGGCGTCCACGAGAAGCGGCTCCTCTCTCAGACCCCTGGGTTTTGATTGAAGGGGCCACCACTGCCAGAGACTTGGCCTGGCGTGACGACATGGTGCTAGCTGGGTTCAGTGTGCGGGGCAGAGGAGTCAGGGGACTGGCTGTAGAGGAGTCCGAGTCGTGCACCGTCAAACAGCTGATGACATTAGCTCGCTGGCTGAGACCAACGCTATGTAAACGGAGAAACACGTGTTGTGTTAAATCTGTGTCGAAGAGGCTCAGAAAACACATGAAATAGTTTAGAGGAGTATCTCTTCCTCACCTGGCGGGATGGAACTTGCGCTCATCCTCTGTGTCGGTGTCACTGTGAATAGTGATGATGCTGACCGCCGGGCTGGGTGTGTCGGAGATGACGATTGGCTGTGACCATGTGGCGCTGGGTGGGGTCACACCGCTGCTGCTGAGTAATGATGCAGTGGATATACCCCTAGGCAGAGAAACGGTTGAGTTTTCAGCCGTGATAACAAAAAACAGGGTGCAAAAGTCTTCCTCCACTTTAGAAAATAATAGGACACAACAAACCTGTTTCTGTTCTCTCCACGTCTGGCTTTCACCTTCTTCCTCTCCGGCTGGGTCCTGGCTTGGGTTGTGCTCCTATTAGGGCCAAAGATCAAACAAGTCAGAGGTGGAGACCACTGGCAAAATCACAACATGAAACAATAAACAAAGAACACTTACTTTTCAGACATTGTGTTGGAAATAATCCCAAAACCACGGTATATTTAGTATATTTACCATGTTTTGTTTAACTCCCGTAGCATTACATCTGCAGTACCTTACATATCACAAATAAGTCAATATATAATGAACAAACTGGATGGATGATGATGAGATGATCATTTTTACTTTAAAATGTCAAAGAAGTCAGAACCATAATAAGTATTAAGTGTGTAAAAAGAAGCATCCTTGAACAAGATACTTCCATTCTATGTCTGACATAAAAAAAAACTCAAATAATTGTAAAAATATAAGATGCTAGCTCACGTTTGTTTTGGACTAAACAGTCGTTGGTTGACCCACCTCCAGCTGTGTCCCTGCTGCGTGGAAGCGTTGGAGTGAAGCGTTTCTAGAGGGGATTCGGGTACATTGGACTGGTGGGCAGAGCTGTGGATGGCCACACCGGGGACCTGCTGCCACGAGGACGGGATGAGGATCTGTTGAGTGCCAGTGGGCCAAGCCTGCTGAGAAAAACAACAAGACATCCACACTTTTAGCAAATGTAATATCAAGGATTAGATATTAAGTCAACACAAGCAATATGATGCTGGAATGGGCCAGACAAACTGAACCATGCCGAGAAATAAATCCAAACACCGAAAGACAAAAGAGGCAAACCGACTCTTCCAACAGGCAAAAGCAACAGAGATAGATAAGCGAGCAACCTTTCCCAAGCCATTCTCTTATTATAGCATTGCCCTGCAACAAATGCACAAGATGATACCCATGCAAAGCACAAACAATGAAGCACTGTGAACAGTCAGATCAGGTATAAAGACAAGTATAGAACCATGGTGCCTGTTAAAGAAGAATACTGAAGAAAAAGATTAGTTTAGTTCACTGAAGGTCTGCTGATATAAGCTGTCTTGGGAAATGTTCTGGGGCTGAAACAAAGGGTGTGTGTCAGAGAGTCGGGCTGTCGAGTGGGGACTTTAGTGGGGCTTTGTAGCGGCAACCTCCTTTGCTGAAAACGAGGAAGGACGGGACAAGCGAAGCTGCAAGCAAAGCGCAGACTAACTCAGCAACGCATGCGCTCCATCCATGCCCTCAGTACACCTACGGGAGAAGACTGTGGGGGAGGGAATGACAGCGTGTGAATGAGGTGGGGAGGGAGGGAGGGAGGTGTCCTTTGCAGTGGAAAAAAGTTTCAGATTCCAGAGAAACTGATTGTCTTACAAAAAATAAGCCTGCTTGTGAAAAGTCAAATGAGGGAATATGACGCATACATTAAAGACTAGCCCTGTGGCACAGAGGGGGGAGGAAAAGTTGCAAACAAATGAAAAAAGAAAGAAAAGGCAGAGTAGGGCAGGAAAGAGACAGCATTGTTAGTGGCAGTAGCAGTGTGCATGTGAATGAATTTCTTCAGGGATGTCCTTGTTGCTTTACCAGCACTGTGGCTGTGTGCTCCAGGAGGGTGGGCCGACCCACCCCGGGGCCCAGCCCGAGGGGCAGGGAGTACTGGGGGGCTATGCCTGCTGAGGGTGGGTGCAGGGTGGCCACCATCAGGGGTGTGCAGGAACCCTGGAGGAGGGAGGGAGGATAGGGGAGGGCAGGGTTAGGGCACGGTGAACAGTAATGTCCATTAAAAGGCTCAAGTCTGAGGAGGCGCACACAAGTACCACTGGCCACCACCTGGACACCTGACCTCTGTAGTGTGCAGCAATTAATCCTTTTTTTTTTTTTTTTTAAAGCAAATGGCAATTAAGAAGCTTTTTGAGCCAGATGAGTCTCCCACATTAAACATCTGGCCTCCATCCCAGATAGCAGACTGGGAATAAGAGAGGCCTGACTCTGAATCAGTCCTGGAAGCAAATACAGCAGAAAACAAACAACAAAAAACAGCATGGACTATGATGCTAAAGTCAAATCTTTTGTAAATTCAAAAGTCAGGGGTATAAAAAGGCATTTAAACAAACA